AGAAAGCCAGCCAGCTGAAGTCTACTTAAAACCATTTTCCTACCAGTGGGAACTAATCCAGTCCTAGGAGACCTGACCTATTCTAGTAGGAGGGCATCATGGCTCCTTTCTGGGGTGCCCATGACCTGACCACCTCCATCTAGCCACCTCTCTCCATTACTTCATGGGGGACCAAGTTTCCAGCACATGAACCTTTAGGGGACAAACGACATCCAAACCATGGCACTAGGGTATCTAAGAGCTCCTTCCAAGGAAAGCCAGTAGTGTGAGTGGAGGGGAGTCTGGAGAGCAGATGACTTTGAAGAGCAGCCCAGGACTGTTGAATTTTATGGTAAAGATAATAAGAAGCCACAGGAGGGATTTGAACTAAAGTGTATCAGGACATCACTGGTCATGAGTTGTTAGCCCCACGATCTTGTGGTCAGTGTTCCTGGGTTCATATGCAATGATCAGTTTCCACAAGAATAAATTCCTGGCATCCTGTGTTAAGAGGTTATCTCTCAGCTTTATGAGGTTGTAGAAGGGACCAGAAGTCAGGCTGAGAATGTCGCTTAGCGGTAGAGTATTTGCCTAGCATGCATGAAGCCCTGGGTTTGATTCCTCAGTACCATGTAAATAGAAAAAGCTGGAAGTGGCACTGTGGCTCAAGTGGTAGAGTGCTAGCCTTAAGCAAAAGAAGCTCAGGGACAGTGCCTAGGCCCTGAGTTCAAGCCCCGGGACTGGAAAAAAACAAACAAAACAACAGAAGATTTCTGAGTTTTAGTTAGGCTCTTCTCCTCCCCCATTTAACTCTGAGCTTAACTCTAGCTGCCTATAGGTCCTGCAACTTCTAGAAGAGCTGGAACTTGGCCCACTTATTCGTTAGTGATATGGGTTCTAGCTTCCTCTGCTCTCCTGTCAGTGGCAATGCTGCTTTCCATGTTCTAAAGATGTCTTGAAATTTCTTATCTGCTGACATCTCTTCTTTATTCTTGTGGGTTTTAAATATTTTACTGACATTCTTATACTTGCAGATTTAACATTTTTGGCATTCTTTGTTCCTTTGTGTAGATCCAAGTTTCCATCTGCTATCCTTTTTTTTTTTTTCACCTGAAGAATTCCCTTTAACATTTCCCACACATCTTCTGGCAATAAGTTCTCTTAGCTTTTGTCTGCAAAAGCCTGTTTTTCTCCTTCATTTTTGAAGAATATTTTCATTGTAAGGATTTTTTGTTTTCCCCAGCACTTTAAGGATTTTACTATATTGTATTGTGGCTTGCATATTTTCTGATGAGAAGTATATAGTGATTCCTGTTTATTCTTCAAGAGGGACCTTCCTGTAATTTTCTTTGTATTTGTCTTACTTTGAGGGTCATTATGCTGGGCATTGGTGGTTCATGCCTGTAATCCCAGCTACTCTGGAGGCTGAGATCTGAGGATCTCAGTTCAAAGCTAGCCCAGGCAGGAAAGTGTGAGACTCTTATCTCTAGTAAACCACCAGAAAACCAGAAGTGGCACTGTGGCTCAAGTGGTAGAGCACTAGCCTTGACCTGAAGAGCTGAGGGATGGCACCCAGGCCCAGAGTTCAAGCCCCACAGCCAACAACAACAACAAAAAGGGGGTCATTGAGTTTCTTGGTTCTGTAGGTTTATCATTGTATTAACAAATTATCATTTCAATACAATTTACCATGAACTTGGTAGCTTAAAAATGACAAAAATTTATTCTCTTTTCTGAAGATTCAAAGTTGGCAGGCTGTACTCCCTCCAAAGGCTCGAGGGGCCTCCTACCTTGCCTCCTCCAGGTTCTGGTGATACTAGGCATTCCTTAGTACTGGTTGTTTAACAGACTCTTTGCCTCGGATTTCACATGGCCTTCTGAACTCAGTTGCCTGGGTACTGTCTCTGAGCTTTTTCCTTCAAGGCTAGTTTTCTACCACCTAGAGCCACAGCTCAAAGTAGCTAGGATTATAGACACTAGTGTTTTATAGACACTAGTCATTGGATTCTGAAACAACCAAGATTATCCTGGATGATGTTTTCTTGAAATCCTTAACATAATTTTATCTACAAGGATGTTCTTCCCAAATAAGGCTACAAGGACAGGTTCTGAGAGTTAGGATACGGACAGATCTTGTATGAGGCACTATTATTCACCCCAACAAAATAGTTTTTAAATCAAATTGGACAAAAAAAATTAGCACTTGGGAGACAGAGGCAGGAGAATTGCAAGTTTTAAGGCCAGCCTGGGACTACATAGTGAGACTATCTCAACCAAATAAAAAATATTCGAGCCAGGCACCAGTGGCTCATGCCTGTAATCCTAACTATTCAGGAGGCTGAGATCTGAGGATTGTGGTTGAAAACCAGCTCAGGCAGAAAGTCCCTATGAGACTCCTATCTCCAATTAACCACCAGAAAACTGGAAGTGACAATGTGGCTCAAAGTGGTAGAGTGTTAGCCTTGAACAAAAGAGCTTAGGGACAGTGCTCAGACATGGAGTTTAAGCCCCACAACTGACCCCCGCAAAAAAATAAAATTGGAAAAATGTGTCCTTTTTTTACATATGTCTTATTTCCTCTATGTCCATATTGGGATTCCAGTTATACATATGGTAGAATTCTGGACAGTATTTCACAAATGACTGAGACTCTGATTTTTTTTTTTTACAGCACCTGTTTTCTCCTTTGTATAAGTTCTGTTGTTGTTTTCAAATTCAGTGATCTTTTTTGAAAAAAATATATATAAATTCTTAATTTCTTGTTTTGGTCAGTTGTGGGGCTTGAACTCTGGGCCTGGGAGCTGTCCCTTAGCTCTTCAGCTCAAGGCACTCTTGAACCACAGTGCCACTTCTGGTTTTCTGGAAGTTTATTAGAGATAAGAGTCTCATGGACTTTCCTGCCTGCGCTGGCTTCAAACTACAATCTTTAGATCTCAGCCTCCTGAGTAGCTAGGATTACAGATGTTAGCTACTAGTGCCTGATTTCTAATACTTTTTTTTTTTGGCAGTACTGGAATTTGAACTCATGGACTTGTACCTACTAATCTGCCACTTGAGCCATGCCCTAAGTCCTTTATTGCTTGCTTGTTCGCTTCTTTCTTCTTTTTTCTTTTCCTCCCTCCCTCCCTCCCTCCCTCCTTTCCTCCCTTCCTCCCTTCCTCCCTTCCTTCCTTCCTTCCTTCCTTCCTTCCTTCCTTCCTTCCTTCCTTCCTTCCTTCCTTCCCTTCCTCCCTTCCTTCCTTCCTTCCTTCCTTCCTTCCTTCCTTCCTTCCTTCCTTCCTTCCTTCCTTCCTTCCTTCCTTCCTTCTTTTGTCTCATGTTTTTCCTCAGAGCAGGCCTCAGATTGAAATCCTCCTATCTACTTATGTAGGAAGATCTTGTAGCTGAGATTACAAGTCTCCACCACCATGCCCAGGTCTTTTCACCTAGGCTGTCCTCAAACCATGATCCTTCCAATCTCTGCCTCCCAGCTAACTAGGATTACAAGTGTGAGCCATCATGCCTGGCCTCGTTTCTAGCATTTTTGTTTTTTTCCCTCTAATTTTTCTAGTTCCCGGGACTGAACACAGGGCCTCACACTACATGATGGGTAAGTGCTCTAGCACTGAGCTACATTACCAGTAATTTTTAACCTGACATTGGACACTAAGCAGCTGGATTTTTTTGTTCTTCCTTTAAAGAGTGCTAGGCTTTGTTCTGGCAAACTAAATAAAATGCTTGCAAATGAATATGATCTTTTTGAGGGTGTTTCAGTTTGTTAGGGTGGGTCTAGGTGGGCCTTTTCTCTAGGGTTAGTTTAGCTCTACTATTAAGGCATAACACTTCTGGGATTTCTGAGAATTTATCAGTTCATTGCTCTTTTTTACACTATCTTACTATACATACACGAAGTTTAATCATCAGCAAAGATTCAAGAGAACTTTTCTTTTTTTTTTTTGGAAAGGCTCATGCCCTTGTAGAACTCTGCCCTTCAATTTCTACTTACCTCAGAATCCTTGGAGTCTTGTCTCTGTCTCCACAATTCAGTAAGACCACCAACCTCTGCGGGGGATTCCTCTTCTGAATTACATGCTGGAGTATTCCCCCAGACAGAAACCAGGGAAGTCATAGAACCAATTAGTAGTAAAATAATAACAATAATAAAATCAATAGTCATTGATTGTTTTGGTTACTTAATCCAGAGATCCCAGTCTTACACTCCAGTGTCTGGAAGGAATTTTTTCAGATTGTCATTCTCTCATTTAGCTATTTTATGGTGGGAGTGGAATTTCAGCTGTCTCATCATGGCTGAAAGAGAAACCTTTTACTGGCATTTCAGTCAAGTTTTGGCAAAGAAGGAGGAGTTACATGCATATGGTCAGTTTGCTGTATTTAACTTTAAGTCATAGACTCCTGTGATATATTTAAATACTTGCATTTACCATATATGATTTTATCACACAGCAAAAGTCTCATGCCACATAATCATGCTATAATAAAATAATAGGACAGTCTGGGAAGGTGGCTCAGTAGTAGAGTGCTTGCCTTGCATGCATGAGGCCCTGAGTTCGATTCCTCAGCACCACATAAGCAGAAAAAGCCAGAAGTGGTGCTTTGGCTCTAGTGGTAGAGTGCTAGCCTTGAGCTGAAGAGCTGAGGGACGGCACCCAGGCCCAGAGTTCAGCCCCCACGACCAACAAAAATAAATAAATACATAAAATAATAGGACTTTGGAAATTGTTAATACATAGTGTCTCCCTGGCATAAGGCATGTCTTTGAAGTTGTGCTCTCAACATGTTCTTCTATTGCTATCAAGATATTACTGAACCTGCGTGGTCCTAGGTGGACAGGAAAGGAGGAATTCCTTCCCCTCACCCAGTGTTTCTTTCTGCCCTATCTTCTTAGCTCCTCTTACCTGGCTGCAGCTCATGATGTCAACTTTGTGACACAGCCAGAGTTGCTGCCTGCTGAAGGGCTGCGAGGCTCAGGCCAGCCGCCTCAAAAGTGATCAGGGCTACGTCTTCACTTCCTCCAGGTGGACATCGAGCAGCTGGATCCCCGTGGTCGGACTCCCCTGCACCTGGCCACCACACTGGGGCACCTGGAGTGTGCCCGGGTGCTTCTGGCGCATGGTGCAGATGTGGGCAGGGAGAATCGCAGTGGCTGGACAGGTGGGCACCCCTGTTAACCCTGGCTCCACAGCCAGGGTGTCCCCAGTATCAGGAACTTCCCCGGGGTTGGCTTCAGTGTCCTGCCCTGTAACCTTACCTCCCTTTGCCCAGTGCTGCAGGAGGCTGTGAGTACCCGGGACTTGGAGCTGGTGCAGTTGGTGCTGCGGTACCGGGACTACCAGCGGGTGGTGAAGCGGCTGGCAGGCATCCCTGTGCTCCTGGAGAAACTGCGCAAGGTGAGGCCTGACCTCCTGCCTCCCCCCTGGGGCCCTGCACGCCATTTCTAGTGCTGGCTCAGTTCCTCTCCTTGTTATCCTTCAGGCCCAGGACTTCTACGTGGAGATGAAGTGGGAGTTCACTAGCTGGGGTAAGAGGGGTGGATGGGTCTGGGTCCTGCCTGGTACACCCTCCCATTGCTCTTTGTGGGGCTGCTTCTCTTCAGGCTCTCAGCTTAATGCCACCTCCTCAGCTAGGTGTCTTCAGAGTACCCCAGACACTGTCCTCTTCCTCTATTAATTCTTTCACTCAGTAGTGATTTGCTGGTTCACTCCCATGCTGGAAGGTAAGTGCCAGAGGGCACGAGTCCTGTCTGGTTCAATGTTGTATCCCTGTGGACTGGAATAGTGCCTAGCATGTAGTAGGTGTTCAATAAATATTGACAGCGTGGAAGAGAGGGTGAGTGAATGAATTAATATGCAGAGGCTGCCATAGACTTAGTAGTGGCTGAGTCTTGCCTGTCCCCAACCTTCTGCCCTTTGCATCTGAGGGAATGTGGCTGTATTTGTTGGGGGTAGAAGTGGAAGGAGAATCTGCTCTCCTACCAGTGACCTCCCCCTTTTCTGACCACAACACTGACTCTAACTCCTATGCCCTAAGCTCTGGTCCAGGCTGTGTAGGTCATACATACTGAAGTCACCTCTGCCCTTCATTTCCACCTAGTGCCCCTGGTGTCCAAGATCTGCCCTAGTGATACCTACAAAGTATGGAAGAGTGGGCAGAACTTGAGGGTAGACACTACGCTCCTGGGCTTTGATCACATGACATGGCAGCGAGGGAACCGAAGCTTCGTCTTTAGGGGTCAAGGTCAGGCAAGCAAGAGGTGGGGCAGAGAGGATGGGACAAAGCCTTGTGCCAGTCTCACCCCCTGTGCTGTTCTGTGGCTGCCAGACACAAGTGCCATAGTCATGGAGATTGACCACGACCGCCGGGTAGTATACACAGAGACATTGGCACTGGCGGGGCAAGACCGGGAGTTGCTGCTGGCGGCGGCCCAGCCTACAGAGGAGCAGGTGCTGAGCCGCCTCACTGCACCTGTTGTCACTACGCAGCTTGACACCAAAAACATCTCCTTTGAGAGGTGAGTGGGAATCACCTGGCCAGCCTGGAGCTAGCCTCCTGGGTTCCCACCTCACATAGATTACTTTACTTCCTCAGGAACAAGACCGGCATCCTGGGCTGGCGCAGTGAGAAGACAGAGATAGTGAATGGGTATGAAGCCAAGGTGAGACCTGCCAGAGCCAGTAACACACGTGATTAGGACTGGACTGGACAGGAGGCTCCTGACCAGCCCTAGTTTACAGGCTCCGAGGCAATAGAGCATGCAAGCAAGGGCCTTAGAATAATGCTTACCCCAGGAGATGGGCATTTACCATATTCCTGTCCCTGGCGCAGTTCCAGCGTTAGACAGCTGTATGTACTTACCTAGTCCTCTCGCCACGCAGGCGCTCTTGCCTCCCTTTCACACATGTGGACTGGGTTCTTTCCCTGTATCCCATTTCATCTTTAATGTTTTTCATCTTGATATGGTAATACCAAGCTAGACTGACTCGTGAGGACAGGGATTGGGTTTGGCTTGCTCATCATTGTATGTCTAGTGGTCACCTCCAAGGATGGCATGGAAAGGCGTCTCAAAAAATGTGTGTTAAGCCAGGTGCCGGTGGCTCACACCTATTATCCTAGCTACTCAGGAGGCTGAGATCTGAGGATTGCAGTTCAAAGCTAGAAGTGGAGCTGTGGCTCAAGTAGAGTGCTAGTCTTTTTTTTTTTTTTTTTGGGTCCGGTCGTGGGGCCTGAACTCTGGGCCTGGGCACTGTCCCTCAGCTCTTCAGCTCAAGGCTAGCACTCTACCACTTGAGCCACAGCACCACTTCCGGCTTTTTTCTTTTTGCTTATGTGGTACTGAGGAATCGAACCCAGGGCCTTGAGCATGCAAGGCAAGTGCTGTACCACTGAGCCACCTTCCCAGCCCTAGAGTGCTAGTCTTAAGCACAAAAGCTGAGGGACAGAGTCCAGGCCCTGAGTTCAAGCCCCACGACCAGCCCAGAACTGTGTGTTAAGCCAGGTGCTGGTGGCTTATGCCTTAATCCTAGCTACTTGGGAGGTTGAGACCTGAATATAGAGGTTCAGCCTGTGCAGACAAATCCAAGATCTTTTTTTGTTGTTGTTGTTGGTCATGGGCCTTGAACTCTAGGCCTGGATGCTATCTCTCAGTTCTTCAGCTCAAGGTGAGTGCTCTGCCACTTGAGTCACAGCACCACTTCTGGTTTTCTGGTGGTTAATTGGAGATAAAAGTCTCATAAACTTTCTTGCCTGGGCTGGCTTTGAACCGCAATCCTCAGATCTGAACCTCCTAAGTAGCTAGGATTACAGGCAGCTACTGGTGCCTGTTTTTTTTTTTTGCCAGTCCTGGGACTAGAACTCAGGGCCTGAACACTGTCCCTAAGCTGCTTTTTCCTCAAGGCTAGCACTCTACCTTGAGCCACAGTGCCAATTCTGGCCTTTTCTGTTTATGTGGTACTAAGGAATCAAACCCAGGACTTCATGTATGCTAGGCAAGCACTCCACTACTAAGCTACATTCCCAGCTCAAAGATTCTTTTTGTTGTTGTTGTTGTCGGTCATGGGGCTTGAACTCTGGGCCTGGGCACTATCCCTCAGCTCTTCAGCTCAAGGCAAGCGCTCTACCACTTGAGCTACTTCCGGTTTTCTGGTGGTTTATTGGAGATAAGAGTCTCACGGTCTCTCCTGCCCGGGCTGGCTTTGAACCGCGATCCTCAGATCTCAGCCTCCTGAGTAGCTAGGATTACAGGCGTGAGCCACCAGCGCCCGGCAGCCCAAAGATTCTTATCTTCAATTGACCAGCAACAATCTGGAAGCAGCGGTGTGGGTCAAGTGGTAGAGCACTAGTCTTGAGCAAAAGAGCTAGGCCAGAGCAGAAGACCTTGAACTTCAAATCCCAGTACCAGCACATACCAACACACATGCTGGGTTCCCCAGCAAGACAAAAATATTAGTTTAATGAATGAAAGATCTATTTACTTCCCCAAAGGCCCGGGAACCAGAGCAAAGAGCCACTCCAGGACCTTTTATTGCACACAGCCACTTTTTCTGTGTCCTCAGGTATATGGGGCCTCCAATGTAGAACTCATCACACGGACTCGGACGGAACATCTTTCAGAACAGCACAAGGGCAAGGTCAAAGGTAATGAGGCCAAGGTGGATGGGAAGAAGTACTGTAGGACTGGAGGAAGTAGATTCCACTCAGAACCCATTTCAGTATTCGTTTTGGCAGCCCAGCAATAGCCAGGATGGCCTATTCAGGCAAACATTTGAAGTGCCAAGTCACTGCAGCTGCCTAGTGTACTAAGATTCTTAGGACTTACTTAAGCTCAGCAGACAGGCATACCACAATTAATGCCTGCATTTAGGAGTAGAAGAGAGGCCAGGCGTTGGTGGCTCACACCTGTAATCCTAGCTACTCAGGAGGCTGAGATCTGAGGATTGGGGTTCAAAGCCAGCTCGGGCAGGAAAGTCCGAGAGACTCTTTTTTTTTTTTTTTTCTTCAGTCGTGGGGCTTGAACTCTGGGCTTGGGCGCTATCCCTCAGCTCTTCAGCACAAGGCGAGCACTCTACCACTTTAACCACAGTGACACTTCCGGTTTTCTAGTCGTTTATTGGAGATAAGAGTCTCACAGACTTTCCTGCCAGGGCTGGCTTTGAACCTCGATCCTCAGATCTCAGCCTCCTGAGTAGCTAGGATTACGGGCGTGAGCCATGGGCACCTGGCTCCAGGAGACTCTTATCTCCAATAAACCACACAGAAAACCAGAAGCAGCTCTGTGGCGCAAGTGGTAGAGTGCTTGCCTTGAGCTGAAGTGCTGAGTGATAGTGCCCACGCCCAGAGTTCAAGCTTCATGACTGACAAAAATAAGTAAAAGAAAAAAAGAAAAGAAAAGAAAAAAAAAGGAGTGGAAGAGATATCATGCATGCCATTTATCAGCTAGTCTAGTGTACTGTGACATGGCCTGGGTAGAAAGTCAGGGGAGCCTGTTACTGACTCTATGTGTCCATATGTATTAAATTCTCTGGGCATTAGTTAACCTGTCTCAAACAGAAATGCATAATTCCTACATCACAGGAGAACAAATAGATACTTGTGTCCAGTAGCACCAACCAGGGAAGGCTTTGGAAGCCTTTTATTCCAGTTATGCTTGCAGTGGTCAGGGCCTGCCCCTTAAAGTCTTCAGTGGCCTTTAGATGAAGATGCGTGGGGATGTTGTGTGAGCAAGCTGCCTTCCCCCCCATTCCAGGGACCAAGCCTCCTCCCTAGGTCCTGGGTGTTGTCACATCTGAGGTACCCTCCATGTGTGTGGGGTTGAGTGTCCTGAGATACCACATTTCTTATAGGTTGTAAGACACCTCTGCAGTCTTTCCTGGGAATTGCTGAGCAGCATGGTGGTCCTCAAAATGGGGTGAGTGTGTACCAGGGCCATCACTGTGGAGGGGTATGGATGTGGCTTAGGAAGCTTGGTCTATATGTGTCTCCACAATGCCCAAGGCCATGTCAGCTCCACATTGGCAGGGAGGAGAGCTGGGGCCCTGTGGTACCAAGAAGCTCCCTGGCATTGGATTGAGAACTCATGGTCTCTCCCATGTGGTATAGACCTTGATTACTCAGACCCTGAGCCAAGCCAACCCCACTGCCATCACTGCAGAAGAATACTTCAACCCCAACTTCGAGCTTGGCAACCGGGACATGGGCCGTCCCATGGAACTGACCACCAAGACACAAAAGTGAGGCCCCCAGCTTCTGCTTGGGAGGGGTGGGCAGGGATCGAACTCCCAGAGGTGCTGGGAGGCCACGGAATCCTTCCTGCAGCAACCCTTACCCCTTCGGATCTGGGGGGCAGGTTCAAGGCTAAGCTGTGGCTGTGTGAGGAGCACCCCCTGTCCCTGTGTGAGCAGGTGGCCCCCATCATTGACCTCATGGCTGTTAGCAATGCGCTTTTTGCCAAGCTGCGGGACTTCATCACCCTGCGTCTGCCTCCTGGCTTCCCAGTCAAGATTGGTGAGAAGGGGCTGGGAAGGTGGCTCGGTGGTAGAGCGCTTGCCTCGCATGCATGAGGTCCTGGGTTCAATTCCTCAGTATCACAGAAGCAGAAAAAGTCAGAAGTGGTGCTGTGGCTCAAGTGGTAGAGTGCTAGCCTTGAGCTGAAGAGCTCAGGGACAGCGCCCAGAGTTCAAGCCCCATGACTGACAAAAAAGAGGTTTGGTGAGAAATAAACTTGACCCTACACACCACCACTTCCTTTAGCACTTTCAGAGGTTGGGATGGAGTTCGGATGAGGTCAGGGGAGCAGCCCTGAAGTGTGATGGGGGCTGTGTGTGTGCAGTGCCTGATGCTTCTCTCATCCCCAGAAATTCCAATCTTCCACATCCTCAATGCCCGCATTACCTTTGGGAACCTCAATGGCTGCGACGAGCCTGTGCCTTCCGTCCGAGGCAGCCCCAGCAGCGAGACCCCCTCCCCAGGTAGTGACTCCTCCAGTGTCAGCAGTTCCAGCTCTACAAGTAAGACTCACACCCCTCACAGTCTTGCCCTCTCTGAATTCAGCTCAGTTCCACCCCCATGCTGCTTTAGGGCAGCCTGGAGGGGTAGGCCCAGCATGCCTGACCCTCAGATCCTTCCCCCAGCCTCATGCCGCAGCTGTGAGATCTCCCCAGCCTTGTTCGAAGCCCCACGCGGCTACAGTGTGCTGGGTGGCCAGCGAGAGGCAACAGCCCGGGACGATGACGACGACCTGCTGCAGTTTGCCATTCAGCAGAGCCTGCTTGAGGCGGGCAGTGAGTATGACCAGGTGTGTCCCTGATGCCACGCCGGGCCATGCAAAGTGTGGAGTTGCACAGCTAACAGGCCCCTCCCTCCAGGTCACAATCTGGGAGGCGCTAACCAACAGCAAGCCAGGCACCCACCCTATGTCCTATGAGGGTCGCCGACAGGACAGGTCAGTGCATGATAGGCCAAAGAGAACTCTCCCCACCCCCACCAAACACACAGAGTCTCTCAGTACTCCCCTTACACTGAGTGAAGACGCTAGAACCTTTCTATGCCTAGAGAACATGTATTCTTTAGGAAGGCCCCTACCTGGTACCCTTTCCTGATGCTGAGTCATAGCCAGAGCTCCCCCTAAGCAGGTAGAGGGCAGATCCTCATAGAAGAAATAGGGGATACCAGATAGGATGCTGGGGCCAAGATGTGTAACACTGGGGTGGGGGCCCCCAACTAAGCGCCTCCTATTGAGGGGTTGTGGACCCGCTCTGCTCTGGGGCCTCCATGCTGTCTCTCACCCTAGAGCAGAGCAGGTGCACAGGGAGCACTCCACAAATCCTCCCCGCCCCCAGGAGCGCCCCGCCGACGCCACAGCGACAGCCCGTGCCCCCAGCCCCAGTCCCCAGTCCAAGGCCCAGTCCTGGCCCCGGCTCCAGCGGCCGCATGTTCCCGAGTTACGACGAGCAGCTGCGGCTGGCCATGGAACTGTCTGCGCAGGAGCAGGAGGAGCGGCGGAGGCGTGCGCGCCTGGAGGAGGAGGAGTTGGAGCGCATTCTGCGGCTCTCGTTGACCGAACAGTAGCGCCCCCTGCTGGGCCCCTCGCCCACTCCATGCACAACCCCACGCGGGGCCAGAGCGCAACATGCCGGGGCCAGTGCACCTGCCGAGCTGCGGCTGGAGTCTGGAGCCACCGCCTCAGGCGTGTGGCAGCGCACCAGGCACAAGACGGGGAGGGGTTTGACCTGGGCGCGGGATAACTTTCCAGGCCAGGGCCCTGGAGGCAACTGGAACTGCCAGAACCTCTTTGTTTGGCTGTATCTTGACCCCCTAATCCGCTTCTGTGGGCTCAGATATGCCCAAGGGCGGAGCCAGGTGGTCCTGAAGAGGAAACTGTTAGAGGAGCATTGTCTCCATCTCTGGCTCCTGGCCGGCCCTCCTTCCCGCTCACTGACCCCATTCCAGGACACTGCCCCTGAAGCCTTTGCATCTCCGCTCTTCACCCCCTGGGAGGCAGCTGAGCTTCCCGTGTGCTGTGTTGCTGCTTTGTCCCAGACACAAACCAGCACATCAGGGGCCCAGCATCCCTGCCCTCCACATCCCGTCATTTCAGCGTCAAGTGCACTTAGCGGGGTGCCCTGCTTCCTCAACCCCCACACCCATCCTGGGTCTCAGGGTGGTCCCAGCTTCTCCTCGGGCAGCCAGAAGTTGGAATCCCCATGCTCAAGGCACATTTTTCTGATCAGGTTGTGTGTCCAAGGTCGCCCCCCGCCCCCCGGCCTGGGCAAGGCCTGACTACTTTGTGGTGCCTTGAAGAGTGTGTATGTGGGGCGGGGAAGGTATTGGGCTGGGGGCAAGCACTAGATCTGACACAAAACTGGCTACAAAGGGGTTGCCGAGGACCCTGGCACCACCACCTACCCTTCCCACCAGCTGCTGCTAGCCCTCTGTGGTTGTGCATCCTTGTCCCCGCTCTGGGGGCTGACTAACCCTTCATCCAATGGTGCTAACCCCCGGCTCTCCCCACCCACCACAGAAGCACAGGCCCTGCCAGGGGCAGGGGCCCACCGCACACTCTTGTCCATGGCCTCTTGTACTGGCCTTTCTGCTCAGCCAGTGAGGCTTAGAAGGGGACAGAAGAAAAGAGCAACAACAACAAAAATGTCCTTCCCACTCCCTTTCCTGATGCCAGGGGCACCAGACTGATTATGAGGCACAAATAAAAGAGGCTTCAAAATGAAGATTTTCTTACCTGACTTTACTGGGGGAGGAGAACCCCTGGTGGGTGGGAGTTGGGACCCTGTTGAGCCATAGTGTGTTGACTCTGAGGGTTTAACTGCTGTCTGGTGGTGGGCCCTCAGCCCAGGGTTGTATTTTCTAGGTTCCCAGCACTTGCAGAGGCTAGAGGCTCTCCCTCATTCTCACCCATGCAGGAGGCACAGATTTTGTAAAATATTCCATTTTCCTCGCAGAGGGGGAGGGGGAGGGGCACTGCGTGCTGGGTGTGGGTGAACCAGTTTCCTCACGCCAGTTCTGAGATTTCTTAGGCAGGGACTATCTCAAGGAAACCACCTTCTCTGGCCATGGAAAGGGAGAGCCCACTGCCTAAAACTGCTGAGTGTCACCAGTGGGTTGGACTTCGTAGGCAAAGGATTGTGCATATGTCTGCAGAACTGGGGACCCGTCATCTGTCTGAATTACCACGAATGGGTGGTTAATCAAGTAAGCTGAGTGAAAAATCCTTCATTTTCCCCAGCAGGGGTAGGCCCACTGAAAAGTCATCCCTTTGGGTTGAGGCACAAACTTCCTAACTTGCACAAGCATCGCGCGAATACTAACTACTTCCCCTGCCCTAGGTGAGGAATAGAGGTGGATACCACCCCGCCATGCAGCACCATTGCTGAGGCCTTCCTAGGCCAGCTCCTGCGCACAACCTGGCCCCTGCCAGACATGTGAATCTCCCCTACACTCTGTCCAGGTGTCTGGCGAGGGGTGGGATTTCTTTCCTAGTCCGGATGAATCCCAACCCAGGGACCCAGGCAGGTGAGAGCTGGCGTCCTAGACCACAACCCAGGGTGGGGTGGAGTCCATGCGTCCCACTCTGTCCTGCCTGCGGGTCTGCGGGCTAGTCAGTGCCATCCACCAATTCGCACAGCATATTCTCCAAAGCGGTGATGCGCTCCTCCTGTGCCTGCACCCTTTCTCGTAGGGCCTTAATCTCCTCCAGCAGCGTCTCCAGGGTGTGTTGCTATTGGGCGTGAAGGACAGAGGCCAGGTCAGAGGATTATGAGGATATGCAGACTGAGTCTGGGTACAGAGGGTCAAGATCTCACCGACAGGGGGGCGTCACTAGCGGATTGGCTACGGCGGGGGCCGGAGGGGGGTCGCACATCCAGGATGTTGCGCTTGGTGACCCGGAGCTCGCGGTGCTTGGGGGGCACGTAGCCATCCTTCAATGAAATGAGCACAGGCTCAGCATCTTGACCTGCTAGCCATTCATCTGCTTCCAAGGCTGGCTCTGGGCCTGGAGTGTCCGGGTATAGATCGTCCTGGAACAGGTCTGACTGCGGAAGTGGATGAACAGGCAGACTCCTGTGAGCTGGGGCGCCAAGCCTGCCGCAGTCCCTTCCTCCTCGGGCCCCGACCCATCCTCACCTTGCGGGGCACAGTCATAACGATGGGTTCACACTTTCGTTCGTGCAGCTTGTAGAACCTGAAAGGAAATGGTGCTCAGCACCCTAGAAGATGCTACTTCCTCCTCTCATCATAGCCCAGGGGTTGGAGGCCAACACTTGCTTAGTTTTACCACATGCATTGATCTTTACATTCACGATCAGTCCCTAAGGCAAAACACTTCTCAATGTGTGTCATCAAAGAATGTCAGCCTAATGTGGCTGGTACTTCAAAAAGAAAAAAGAAAAAAAAGATTTCATCCCACCTCAATCTTTTCTTTTCCAAAGCCCTGTGTCTTTGGGGAAACCCCAAAGGTCAAGAAAGACCTGACATGAATATGGGATGGAGGCATGCATGCAGGAGGGACCAAGGCTGCTGACCGGGCAATCTCGCACTTGCTGACATCCAGCCCCCGCTTGGGCATGAAACCCATGCCGCGCTGCGGCTCTTTGCTGCTGAATGTGTTCAGGTAATGCACGAAAGGTGGTTCGTCGGTAATTTCAAAGTACCGGATACTGCTGTCACCCTGCAAAACCAGTCCATTCAGAGGGTCCAGGCTGCGCCCTCACATCTCTATCCTGCTTCATTCTCCCGCCTGGCCTTGAGCAGCGCACCTTGCCACACAGGTAGACGATGCTGGAGTCTGGATCATAGAAGGGCAGTAGGACTCCGTTGCTTGTGTCCATCTCCTGCAGTGCCACTGGCTCCTCGAAGTTGTTCTGCCCGGGCACAGGAGGTGTCATCTGCCCTGCTTATCCCTTTGGAATCCCCTCTACTTCCTGCCTGCCCCAAATTCCATGCGTACACAGGGGGCAGCTCTTTTGAGAGCGACAGGTTCCTCCCTTAGACATGTCACCCCAGCACATTGTCCACTTGTCCACCACCCACTTGTTCCCCACCCCCCCCCTCCCCTGTGCTGCTGCATGCAATCACCGCAAACCACCCCCAGGGACTCGGCATCACCAGGTGGAGGCGCCAGCGCGAACTCCTTCAGGCGACGCAGCAAAACCCGGCAGAGGGGGATGGGTGTGGAGATGGCAGGCGCTGCGGAGGTAGCAGCAGCCTCCAGCCCTGTCCAGGTGGGCACGCCCTGGGGGGGGGCGCTTGGCCCCTCTCCCGTGATGCCAGTCCCCGGGGCACACACCCCCAAGCCTCCAGCTGTGTTACCGGGTCCCACAGGCCCAGCTCTCGCTGGCTCATGCGGGTGAATCCCGTGGTGAAGATATGGCCCTGGCGCGTGAAGACAGCCCGCATGGGCCTCATCCCCTCGTGGGCCGCAAACCTCTCCTGGGGGAGGGGGAGAAGGGAGGGGCATCACCCAACTGTCTGGGGAACAATGGAGGGCTGAGCAACCCGTGTGCTGTCTGGGAAACTGGGGTGGAGACAGGGAGATATTAAAGGGTCCTACAGATTCACTGCGGATGTTTTGGGCGGGGGTGGGGTGGGGAAGGGGAGGCAATGGCTGGCCTCTGGCCTGGAGAACATCTGGGCCAAGACGCACGGCGGTCCACAGACCCCAAGCCCTCAAGCGCCCTCATAGGCCGATCCCTAGAGCAGGTGAGGTCGTCTGGCTTCTCCTCTCTGGTGTCCTGGGTGCGGGTCACGGCCCTCGGGGAGGGCGCTCCTGGCCGACCCAGCGAAGGAAGGAGGAAGCGAGCGAGCGAGCGCGCCTGGCGCGGCCTGGCCTACCGGGTCCCAGAGCGCGACTTGCCGCTCACTCATCCTGCTGAAGCCGGTGCTGAGCAGCTTCCCGTCTGCGGTGAAGACCGCCCGCAGCGGGCGGGCGCCCTCGTGAGGCCGGGCTCGCTCCTGCTCACGGGGTGAGTGGGTTAGAGCGGCCGCCTCCTGCCGCTCCACCCACGCGCGCTCCACGCAGACATGCTCGTGCTCGGCACCCCAGGTTAGACTGATGGCGAGTCAAGCCAGGGCTTGACTCCTCCCAGAACACTCAGCTGGGGTTGCCCAGCCCCGCCCAGCGGGGTCAACAAGAGCGGGAAGCCCGCCAACCAGTGGTCAGACCCTAAACCCAGGAGGATGGCGCTGGATGCCCTCTGAGAGGAGAGGGTCCGGGAGCTCAGTTTTCATGCAGGTTCTGATGGGAGACGGAATTTCCAGGGTCTCCCCTCCACCATCTCAAAGCAAACAGACCTCTCTGCTTCAGGAGAGGTGAAAGGAGAGGAAAGGAGGTGAGGGGAGAGGATGCTCAGGGAGGGAAACGAGCAGGGCAGAGAATTGTAGGCTGGAGACTTTTTCTTAGGGCTGGGATTGGGGTTGCAGAGACTTGTGTCGAGCCAAGACTGAGCTCTGGAGTAGGAATAGGACTGGTGAAAGCTGGACCAGGGGTTCTGCTGGCTGTGGTATATGGAGTGCTAGCAGCTGGTCACCAGGGAAGGGCTTGTAGGCAGTGGTTAGGTACTCACCGCCACCACTTGGCCTTTCCGAGGATCGATGATGCGCAGAGTCTTGTCCTTGCAGGTGGTGGCTAGCAGGGTGCCGTTGTTGTTCCAGCAAACACTGTGGATGAGGTCCGGATGCAGGTCCTCCAGGCTCAGCAGCACCTCTCCAGTGCCCACATTCCAGATGATGATCACATTATCACCACCTATCCAGAGTGGCCAGATATGGTCACCTGGGCCCCGCCTTTGCCACCCCCACCTTCGTCTGCAGTAGAGACCTTCCCTAAGCTCTCATACCTGCACTAAGCAGGACATTCCTGGCAATAGGATGCCAGGAGAGGATGCCCACTCGCTTGGAGTGGCCTTCAAGTGTGATAATAGGTTCTGTAATGTTGCGCACAGGAGTGTAGTCTGGGATCTGCCACACCTGGATGGGACAAAAAGGCAAAGTGTATGTAGGATAAGGAACCAGCTCTTTATTCCTCTCTACCCTCCATCTCTACTCCTTAGCTCTACTGGCTCTCTCAAGTGGTAAGGATCAAATACAGGGCAAGATCTAGTAGTGTCTGCCTAGGGCAGAAGCAGCTAGGAACCAGAGGAGGCACGGCCAGCTCTCCAGAGACCTTCCCATTCACTCCAGCAGGCATTGTCCCCCTGCTCTTTGGGCCCCAAGTTATCCATGGCTATAATTAGTCCTTAGCAGTGGATCCTGGGAGGGAATAGGCATGGAGTTAAAAATAACCTGGTTAATGGGCAGGGCAGGTCAGGACTCTGGGACTTTATTTCCTAGCACTTTGCTCAGCACAGGTGAGACAGCTGTGCATATTTATTCTACCCAACTTTAACAGCATCCACCTGGCTCCTACCATGATGGTGGTGTCATCCGAGGCACTGGCGATAACATTGTCATTGTGGGGGCACCAGTCGATGTCCAACACAGGGGCAGTGTGTCCAGTAACCAGTGGGTAGTTCTTATCCACTCGTCCTGTCTGGAAGGATCAGAGAGGGAGAGATGGAGCCACGCTCCTGTGTGTCATCTCTGTGTGTGTGTGAGTGTGTGTGTGCACGCGCGCCCTCACACTACAGATCTAACCCAGGGCCTCACACATACTAGCATTCTGCCATTGAGCTACATTCACTCATTCATCCTGTGTTTTTGAAATGGAGAGTAGGTTTGTTATGTATCAATTAAATATGTCTTCTGTTTGCAGACATGACTCTTAACCTCTAACCCCAAAGTTTTAACCCCAAAGTTTACTCTGAGTGTGTTTAAAGGAAGAAAGTTGAAATAATTTCTATTAGGGAATCTGAGAAGCAAGCCAGGGCCCACAATAAGAGTCTAGTAAAGAATCCAGATAAACTTTCACTCTAGTGCTTTTGAAAAGACATGTATATGGAAAAGGCTTTTCTTTTTCCTTCCTTCCTTCCTTCCTTCCTTTCTTTCTTTCTTTCTTTCTTTCTTTCTTTCTTTCTTTCTTTCTTTCTTTCTTTCTTTCTTTGACAGGGGCTCTCTCTGTAGCTAACCTCAAACTTGTAATCCTCCTGCTATCGCCTCCCAAGTACTAGGACTATGGCTGTCCACCACAGTCCATGTCCATGTGAGAAGACTGTTCTTGAACCTGTCTGTGGAAAGCCTCTAGTGGAAGAAACCAATATGAGGCAAAACTCAATACTAACCAACTCCAGCAAGTCTCTCTTTTGTCACTGGCTTTACCTTGGAAGCACAGAAATAGGAAATCCTAAAGCCTATTATTCCTTAGTAGGGGCTGAGAATTCAACTCTTTGGGTCTTCATTGACTGCTTGTAGAGGCTCTGAGGCCTTTGCAGGGACTGGCATTGATGTAGATCAGGCAGTAGGGGAGAAGGGTAGCCAGGAAGCATTGAAATGGCAGTCATACTCAGGGAGGAGGTGGCTCTAGCTGAAATTTGAGCCTTGGGGATGCAGTCTCTGGATAGTGTCTGCATTGTCCTGGGTGAGTCACAGGCTATTGTCAGGTCTTTTCTTGACCTTGCTACTGTGCCTCTCCCCCGCCCTTTCCCCAGTAGAGGGGCCAGAATCCCAGTCAAGGTCAAACCTTTGGGTGTCCATCCTGGGTGTAGAGTCTTCAGGTTGCTTTATAAAAGTGACAGTCATTGCCTGCCCCCCTTCCCTAGGGCAGGGAGGGCTCTGGTCTTAAATGTTATGTCTTTGCCCTTTACTCTCATTCTACTCCATTGCCAGAACCAAAGTGGGAGGAGTCAGGAATGCTTTGGATAGAGTCTGACTCTGTTCTTAAGTGTGCTGCTCTAGGATGTGATTTAATCAAATAAGCATCCAGAGCTGAGGAAGGAGGATCTCCAGCCCCAAAACATGAGGGATTGTGATTTTAGGAGAGACAGGGACAGAATCCCGCTAAATCTTCATTCTGCTGCATCTTGACCATCCCTATTACCCAATTCCCATGCAGATCCCTACTAGAAGCAAGGTGCTGCATAGAGGTGGAGGGCCTAGGTCACAGTGGTCACAGTGACAATGCTGCTTAGGATGGGGTAAGGGACCATCCCCACTGGTCCTGGAGGGCTTCAGGAATAGGGGGCAGCCAATCCACACAAAGTGCCCTCCTATCTGATGAATAGGCCCAGGTGAAAATTTAGGCTGCTGTCAGGAGTCCCCAGGGTCCCCGCACCAGTGCCCTCCCACTTATTTACCTCCCATCATCCTCTACCTTGGCCAAAGGCAGGACAATGAAGGCACCACCACCTCCAGCCTCCACAATAATAGCCAGGAATTTGGGGTTCACAGCACAGAAGGAGCTGTCCCATGTGACCTTGGACACCCGGATGTCCTCATAGGCCTGGTCGGCCTTTGCTGCCTGGCCAAACACATGGCGGAATTTGCTCTGCCGAACCACACGTCGGCTCATCGCTGGGGTAGAGATACAGGATCTCAGTTGCCCAGAAGTGCCTTTGGTCCTTAGTCCTGTGAGCTGTGGGAGGGAGAAGGAGTGGAAGAGGTGGCCAGTTAGAAGGGTTATCTAGCCAGAACAGGAACTTTCTTCAAGATAAAGTATGAGATAGTTTTGGCAGGCGCTGGTGGCTCACGCCTGTAATCCTAGCTACTCAGGAGGCTGAGATCTGAGGATTACAGTTCAAAGCCAGCCTGGGCAGGAAAAGCTGTGAGACGCTTATCTCCAATAAACCACTAGAAAACTGGAAGTAACTCTGTGGCTCAAGTGGTAGAGCACTCACCTTGAGCTGAAGAGCTGAGGGACAGGGCCCAGGCCCAGAGTTTAAGCCCCACAATCCCCCCCCCACACACATAGAGTATGAGACAGTTTTTTGTCACCTATCAAATGCTGTTAAATGTGAACTCAGAGTTCAGATTTAGGCCTGAACTCTTCTTATAGACCCATGCTGAGGGCAATGAAGCCTGGCAAGTAGAATGCTCCCTGAAGACAGAATGATTTGGGAGGAATCTCAATACCAGTTCCCTTTCCACTTGTGGCCTTGGATGATCATCTCTTTAAATAGTGGTTTTATCTCCTAGAGGCACCCTGACTAGAATCAGAGGCTTTGGGCATTGGATCTTAGCTCAAGGCCAGTTACTTGGTTAAAACTGCAGCCTCCAAGATCCTATCTTTTTCTAACAAATTTGCCATAGGAGAAGTTCCTCCTGTTAGCTAACCTGAGCTGGCTACCGTTCTCATCAGTTCCCTCCTACACTTTTTTTGGGAGGGGCGGGGTAAGGAGGGGTGGAGACTCATCATAAGGTGAATTCTCTTCTTCCATTTAGCCCTACACTGGTTTTCCAAAAGGCCCGAGCCATTATGGTCTTTGGACTTTTTGCACACCAAACTTTTAAGTCCAGCTTCTCTATTGGGCACTCTGTCTTCGCTTGGGTCTGTCTCTTAGTAAACTCTTCTGTAGGTGGGGGTCCTTGATCTAGGGGTCATGACCAGAATTTCAGGGTTGGGGAGGGAGGGTGAAGTGCCTTTTCTAAAGGAGTCAGGGCCTGAGCGAGGTCTGCTACTCTCTTCCAGACCCAATTCTTCCAAAGGTACAAGAGTGTCTGCCCCTCCCCAGCCCCAGTCATCCCCAGTGCCCTTCAAGCAGCTTCTGCGGCCCCAGGCCTGAGGCCCGGCCTCCCCGCACCCTCCTCAGGCCTCCTGTCCCAGCACTGCGTTCTTGGGACACGAGGTGTCTGCGCGCACCGGCCAGCCGCTGTCCGGCCAAATATAGACATCAAGTCCGTCCTGCCCCGACTGAATTTGGTGGCGCGGGGGAGGGGGCGCAGACCTCGGGTCCCTGGGGAGTCGGCGTCCGCTCCGCTGGCTGCGGTGGCGGCGTGTGCGTGTGCGTGTGGATGTGCGTGTGGGGGGGGTACCTGGTCCTAGGGCGGACGGGAGGACGCTCACGCTGCGACTTCTCTGCGGAGCGGCCTGGGGATACGCTGGGGGATGAGGAAGGCGTCAGGGCACCGGACGGCTTTCTCTGGGTGTCCAGGGCGTCTGGGGGCCCGGGTGTTGACTGCACGCTCCGGCCACTGCCTGCGGCTGTCCAGCGCCGCGCTCCGCTGCAGTCCCAGCTGCCGCTGCCATCAACTGTAGGGGGCGGGGCCTCCACAGGGGCGTGGCCAGGGCCAACGAGGCCCCGCCCTATCCAGCGGCGGGGGTGGGGTGGGGTGGGGTGGGGTGGGGTGGGGGAGCCCAAACTTCCCCTCTCCCCTCCAGCGCCCCCGCCCACAGTCTAAGGGGCTGGGTAAATCGTCAAAAGTATGTGTGCGCGGGGTTGCGCGCACCCCGTCCTTCTCTCGGGTGCCTCCAGGGCAGCCTGGGGAGGCCCAGGTTCCCCGGCGCGTAGGGAGGCCCGGAGACTGAGAGCCGGCGAGGGGGGCGCGTGCCCCTAGAGCCGGCGGCCGCGCGGGATCAGGTGCCTTCGCGCCGCATTCCTGCCGCAATCGCGCTCCCAATTTAGCTCGTCTGGGTTGCAGGGCTGCACGGCCAGGCACCTCTGGGAGGAGGCCCCCGAAGATGCTCTGAGGGAACATCTCAGCCATTGGATGAGGGCTTTGGGTGGCCCACAAGGGGCCGTGAATGCCAGTTATTATTAATAGCAAAAGCGATCATTTGAGAACCTAAACGCCAGTACTGTGACGGGCGTTCCACCCTATGAGAGGACTCACCAAGGAGGGCAGAAAGTAGCTGAGACTCCTGGGAGGGGAGGAAAGTGAACCCACCAGCATGACCTTCCTTTTCCCCTCCCTTCCCTTTCTCTCCCCCCCCCCCTTCCCCAGCACCAGGTTCAGAGGGAAGAGAAGAGACTGGCATAAAGTCTTTAGCCACATTTTAGGGGTTAGAGCAGCTAGATGCTTAGCCCAACTCCTAGTATCTTCTGGGCCTTGATTAAGATGGTACCTGTTTGTCCAAGGGAGAGGTCCCAAAGACCAACAGATCCTGAATATTGTTCAAGGTCAAGGGGATTTAAAAAAAGTAACCTGATCAAAATACAGTGAAGAACAGTCAGTAGTTAGTTGCTGAACACTGATTTCTTCTCTTCTTATGGCAAGGTCCTGGAGGATAAAGTAGGGACAATCACTACTTCCCAGTTTCCAGGGCAAACCTGGAACAGGACACAACCTTCTGGAGGGCACAGACTATCCCTGAGGAAAAGGTGGAAGGAAGATAGTAGGAACCATTGAGGTCCCATATGTCAGGCTCCTTTGCTTCTCAGGAAGAGTCCAGGGAAAACAGAAGCAGAAATTGCTAGATGGTGCTCCAGATATGGCATAGGGGTCTCCATGATGGGGTGTTTTTATTTTTTTAAACCTTAAAACATTCCAGGGGGGCTGGGCACTGGTGGCTCACGCCTGTAATCCTAGCTACTCAAGAGGCTGAGGTCTGAGGATCGCAGTTCAAAGTCAGCCCAGGCAAGAAAGTCCATGAGACCCTTATCTCCAATAAACCACCGGAAAACCTGAAGTGGTGCTGTGGCTCAAGAGGTAGAGCTCTAGCCTTGAGCTGAAGAGCTGAGGGACAGGGCCCAGAGTTCAAGCCCCACAACTGACAAAAACAAAAACAAAAACCACAAAAAAGGTTCCAGGGGGGAAAAACTCCAGTGATTCACTTACCTTTTATAATAATTCACACTTACCACAAGTAAGGCACTACTCCAGGGGCTTCACACATATTAATCACATTCTGATAATAAATTCCAGAGATGAATAGCTACCTCTTTTTACAGATGAGGAAACTGAGATAAAATGAAGTAGTTTACCCATCCCTTAACTGGTGGTCAGTGAGGCTGAGATTTTTGCTCCAGGATCTGGCTTCTACTACTTCTTGAAAGACAGTGATGCTGTTTCACAAATGTGATAAAATGCCACTTCATCTCAAGTTGTGCTGTGTCACACAAAGGATTGCTTGCATTAATTAGAAAACAGGTTCCATTCCTGACTTAGTCAACTATTTTTGCAGTTTTCTGGGATGTAAAATGAAGACAAGGTCAAGTTGTTTCTAATTTCCTCACTGGTTGGCAAAAGAGAGATTTAACCTTTTGTCTTATACACTGAAATGGTACTCCCTCCCCTTCCCTCAACTATAAAGATGTGGGACTGGAGCCACTGGTGCCACTGTAATCCTAGTCACTGAGAAGGCTGAGATTTGAGGATCAAAGCCACTTCAGACAAATTCTCAAGACTTTTAATCTCCAGTCTTGAGCTAAAAAAGCTAAACAAGAGTACAAGGTCCTGAGTTCAAGTCCTAGTAGTGGCACTGATAGAAAAAAATAAGATGAAGCTGGGTGCCGGTAGCTTGCACCTGTAAATCTTAAGATACTTAGGAGGCTGAGATCTGAGAATTGTTGATAAAAGCCAGGAGAGTCCACAAAGACTCTTATCTCCAACACCCACCCACCCACTCACCCCCACACACACATACAAAATTTAGAAATGGAGCTGTGAGGGCTGGGAAGGTTGCTCAGTGGTAGAGTGTTTGCCTTGCATGCATGAAGCCCTGGGTTCGATTCCTCAGCACCAGATAAGCAGAAAAAGCTGGAAGTGGTGTTGGGGCTCAAGTGGTAGAGCGCTAGCCTTGAGCTGAAGAGCTGAGGGACAGCGCCCAGGCCCAGCGTTCAAGCCCCATGACCGACAAAAGAAAAAAAATGGAGCTGTGGTTCAAGTGGTTGAGCACAAGCCTTGAGCATACCACCCAGGCCCAAAGTTCAAGCCCCAGGAATAGCAAAAAAAAAAAAAAAATGAAGTGTGGGATCAGGAAATTGGAATTCTAGTTCATCTAGCCTTTAGTTCCATCATCTGGGAAGAGGGCTAGGGACTTGAAGGTCTAGCCACCAGGCCTGCCAGAGCTTGGGTGGAGTTAAGGATGAAGAACCTATCAGGTGAAGAAGCCACTTGTGTTTGGTGCCTTAAAACTTTTAGCTGGGCTCTGAACTGCATGCAACCCAATTTCAATTCATGAAGCCATTTTCTGGTAGAGGAGACCTGGTAACTTAGTAATAATTTGGTCCGCTTGCTTTAGCTAGAAAGCCAAGACTAAACTTTGTTAGGGACTCCAGAACTCTTAGAATATTTTATGAAATGACCATACCTTCACCATGTACTCCCTTTAGGGACTTAAAACAAATAGCTCATCCCACTGATTCAGAGCCGGGCGCTGGTAGTTCTTGCCTGTAATCCTACTCAGGAGGCTGAGATCTGAGGATCACGGTTCAAAGCCAGCCCGGGCAGGAAAAGTCCGAGAGACTCTTATCTCCAAGAAACCACTCAGAAAACCAGAAGTGGTGCTATGGCTTAAATGGTAGAGTGTTAGTTAGCCTTGAGCTGAAATGCTGAAGGACAGCGCCCAGGCCCAGAGTTCAAGCCCCATGACCAACCAAAAAAAAAAGAAAAAGTATTTTTCTTTTTGAAGCATGAGCAGATTTGACAGTTGAGGAAATGATTGTCTCTAGGTAGTAGTGCTCTTATATATGAATAGCATCATTAA